TTATTTGTGCATGTAGTCACCATTCATCAGAATTTTCCTCTGTCCCTGTAACATGAGTACCAACTGTGGTAATTTGGTCCAGAACCAATAATAAGATACATTATTTAAAAAAAAAAAAAAAAAACTTGAACAGAAAGAATTCTTTTAGAAATCCATTTTTAGACATCCAATTTGGAAATATCACGTTACCCACAAAGGAAGGGTAATTTTGATTTAAGAGAATTTTTCAGATTCTAATTCCACCTTTAAGCATATTTTATTTTGGAGCAAATTTTAAGAGGGGAAAATACAAAACATTTAGATATTTTCTGAGACACCTATAGTTAATTACTTCAAATTGTAAGAAAAAAAAGTCAAGGAGCTGTTAATGGTTCTACAGAGAAACTGTTGCCTTTAGCCTAACCAACTACTAGTTTTTAACCTCACTGCGGAAACTTACTCCACTTGGAAACTCATTTCTGTTCTGTGCGTTTTCAAATTTCCCCTTGGAGCAAATTTGGAAGAATCTGTCAAAAACCATCCTCTCAACCTAGCTGTGTCGCGTTTTTGATTTTGTACAATGTAAATTTTAGTATGATTCAGGGTGACGCCGGGAGTGAAGGTGGAAGCGTTCCCTTTCTCTCCCAGGCAAAGGCAGGGAAATTCTATATTGTCGCTGAGATGAGCGCGGTGGGTGGGAAGGACTCCCTCCTTTCCTATGCGGGGTTAGAGGACTTCAGAAACTCCGCAAAACCCGCTTTGACGAAGGCATTCCAGGTAGCCCTCGGTCGAGCCCCGAGCCGCCCGCAACCCATTTATTTTAGCTCCTCAGTAAGGGGCGCGCAGTAGTTCGTCTCTTTCGGGTTTTCCACTGTGCACCGCGCCGCGCGCGCTCTCTCAGCCCGCGCAGGTTCCGGGGAAGCGCACACGCTCGGCCGATCTAGATGATTTTATTGCTACTGTGGTCGTCGGGCTTCGAACTCGGAATCTGACAGCTGAAATTCAGCTAAGCAGCGCCCACGGTGCTGTCCTTGAAAACTAAACTCGGTGAGCGCGTGTTGCCTTAGCTGTAACTTTCCTTTCTTGGGACTTGGCCTCTTACGCAGAGGTTGCGGCCCGCAGCCCTCCGAGGGGCTTAGGGTTTTAGGCAAATGACCCAAGCCCCCGAGCGGCCTTCTTAGACTTTTCCGACGGGCAAACGACCCGAGCCAGCTCCTTCCCCCAGTCAGAGCTCACTTTGATCCTTGCTACCTTATCATGCTCCATCCCTGTCCCCTGAGAACCCAAGGGTGCGCTTGGCGGCGGCCCCAACAGCCCTTGGTCGGCTTTTAGGGAGCGCATCTGACTCCACGAGGAAAGGGTCCACTGGCTCCCGAAGCCGCCACCGGAGCGGGTGGCGTCCAAGCCCCGACGCAGGGGAGCGGCTGCCCGTGGCAGGAACCCGGCGCTTTGGCAATGACAATGCGACCTGCGGCATCACTCGTCAGAGTGGAGTGTTAGAAAGGGGACGCTCGGGAGTTTCACACCTGAAACTGAGCTTCTTCGAAAATTATTTTTAAAAGAAAAGCACAGAGACCCCAGATCCAATACAAGAAGAAAAATGCAGTTCGGTGGGCAGTGTCGCAGGCTTTCCAGCGCCACAGGAGAGAAGGTGCGCGCCCCCTCGGGGAGAAGCGCGGGAGACTGCAGGGAGCAGAGGCCGTGGGCACGCGGCGGATGCGCCTTTGCGGGGCGCAGGGCACCTGGAGCACCCACAGCGCTGGACGGGCCCACGGCCAGGGAGAGGGAATTCGGGCGAAGACCCTGACTCAGGCGGACGTAGACAACGGGCTCCGGGCCCAACGGTTCCCAGACGCCGTGGCCGTCCCCTGCCATTTCTCCCCAAAGTCAAGTTCTTACAGGAGCGTCCCGAGGGCCTCGAGGCGGGACGCACAGCCCCGCATGGACGGGTTGTTCCGGGCGCGTAGGGGGCCCGGGGACGTCGGACGAGGGCCGCTGCTGCCCCCTGGCGTCCACCCCGAGCCTGCGGCTCCCGCGAAGGCCTCCCCACCGCCCTGAGCAGGGCGCCTGACTCCCGGGACCTGGGGCGGGGAAGAGGCCCGACGCCCGGCCCGCCAGGGTCCCCCTTCCACGAGGCTTCAGCACCGCGGCAGCTGCGCGTCCGCCTTGGGAGGGAAGAGGCGCGCGGGGAAGAATTCCTTAAGTTGGGGTGCTCGGTCATATCGGAGGGGGTGCGAGGCCCCGGGGGATGAAGGGCCTGGCTGGATGGGGGGCGCGGTGGGCCGCGGGCCGGGCCTGGCGACGCTCATAGCGCCGCGGCTCCCGTACAAGGGACGCTCCCCGCCCGGCGCAGAGCCAGGGTGGGTGCAGCGCCCGGGCCGCTCGAGAGGGAAGCGGGGTCTCCGTGGAGCTCGTGGGTGGGCGCGGGGCTCGGGTGACCAGGGCGCCTGGCTCCGGGTCCGCGCTGGCCCCGCGGCGGGCTTTCTCTGGGTAGGGCGCGAGCCTAGCGGTTGCTTTCATTTCCACTTTCTTCCCAGCCTCCGGCTCTTTGGAGCCTTCTCTTACTAGGAAGCCCCTGTGCAGGGCGCTAAGCGCGCGTCGAAATCGAGTCACAGCCCCGACGCGGCGAAAAACACTGATAGAAAAAAACAGACCGAGGGAATGCCCAAAACACGACCAAATCAAGTTGGGGAGCACCTTCTCCTCTTATTCAATGAATCAGCGCCACTCCGCTGCAGCGGCCGACCAGGCCCTGGGGGCGCCCGGAGACGCTCTCCCGCCAGGCTGCGGCCCTCCGGCCTCCTGGCGGCCCGAATCCCACCCTGCCGGGAAGCGATCGCTCGGCCGTGGGCGGCGCGCGGGGCCCCGGATGGTCCGAGACTCCGGGCCGCGTCCCGGGAACCCTCGCGGCGGCAGACGCGTCTCCAGGACGCCCGGGGCACCTCCCTCCAGCTGATCGCCAGGCCCGAGCGCAGCTCTCCGGCTGGGTCCTCCCCAGGCCGGCCGGGCCTGGCCTCCTCCTCTGCCTCCTCTGGGGCCCCGGACCGTGGCCGCCTGGGGCGCCGCTGCGCACCGCAACCCCTAGGATAGGCCGCGCGCGTTGCTGCCGGGCCGGGGTCCGCACCCAGGCGGGCTCGGGCAGGCGTGTGAGCTTGTGCGTGTGTACGCGTGGCCGTGCGGTAGCGCGGGAAGCGCGGGGAGCGCAGGGTGGCCGCGGCCGCCGAGGTCTCCTCGCCCCGGCTGCGTACAGTAGCGTGCGGCGGCGGGGGCGCGCGGGCCAATTCCAGGAGCTGGCGGCAGCGAACCGCGCCCTGGTTGATACCGGAAAAGCCTGTGATTGGCCGCCGGCCGCCCCTATGCAAACGAGCTGAGGGAATGGAATTCCTGGGGCCGGGTTTACAGTAAAAGCACGTTCATTTCCAGGCACTCTCATTCATAGAGCCAGCGGGCGCGGGCGGGACGGGCGCCCCGCGGCCGGACCCAGCCAGGGCACCACGCTGCCCAGCCCTGCGCCGGCAGGCACCTCTAACCCGGGCTCCTGGGGACGCCACCAGAAAGGCAACCTTTGCTGCTCCTCCATGACCTGCGTTGGATCTTTCTTTTTATTTTTTTTTCTTTCTTACTTTTGAATGAACTAGCTTCTTGGCTGGATGTTTCAACTTCTTTCCTGGCTGTGAACTTTTTTCCTGATTTTTTTTTTCTTTTGACAACTGCGAGAGAAAGGGCGCTCTGTTTCGAGGCGAGCCGTGGAGTTGCGTGCGCGTGGGGAGTGCGCGCGCGCGCATGTAACTCGAGCCCCGGGGTCGGTGTGGACCTGCGCCTCCTCTCCGGGGCCGCTCCACCTGCTGTGGTGACGCGGTGCTCCTGCGGACTGGTGCGGCCGAGCAGCTAGATCGCCGGAGCCGGGCGACGTGGGAGAAGATCTCGCTACTGCCCAAGTCGGGACTGACTCACTGAGCCGTAGACAGTGCCTAGATTCGGAAGAGTGCGTGTCTGCGTGTGTGTGTGTGTGTGTGTGTGACTCGCGACAGCTCAACTCCCACAAACCACAGGAGCAGCCGCAAATTTAACCAACATCCCCAAACAGAGTTCTCAGATGTGGAGACCTGTACCTTAGTATCATCGATTTGGACTTTTTATTTTTAAAGACTAGCTAGAGATCTTTGAAAAGCTGAGTTTCTTTTGCACTGAGCGTTTTGCCAGAATTTACTAAGAGAACATGACAAGTAATTCTAGCCCAGCCCTCTTCCAACTACTGAAGCTGATTTTCAAGGCTATTTAAAAAAAAAAAAATCCGCAACGAACATTAATGGATTTCTGTTGTGTTTAAATTCTCTGCAGATTGTATTGTAAATATTTTATGAAGTAGAGTGTATGTATATATTTATATATACGTGCACATACATTAGTAGCACAACCCTTGGAAGTCGCAGCTCTTGCCTTTGAGAACCGAAGCCAGTTTTTCATGATAAAAGGGGCGCCCTGTGTGGAAGACACTCCCGAGTTTTGCATTCTGTTGGGACTTTAGACAAAACTCACCTGCAACAATAATAGTAACTGACAGGCGGTTAACTACTGGAACTTCCAAATCATGTATTTGCTGGTTGTTTTGCTCTCTGCATAAATATTGTAGGAAGTCTACGGAAATTTTGCCTCCGGGAACTTTTGTCATAGCCAAAGACTGAACTTAAACCCCCAAAGCAAGACTCAAGAAAGCAATCGCCTTTTGGCGTTTAACTTTGGATTCTGGTCGCCCGCTTTTTAAGGCACTAAGCGGTTGTTGGTAGGAGCCCTGACTAAGTCTGAAGCCTATCGGCCTAAGTAGAACTTCCCCGTCCTGGACTGTTAGCAACTTGGTCCCCCGCCCTCCTGCAGGCCTCCCGCTGTAATAAAGCCCCTTGAACTTGTATGTTGGTCTCCCGGGAGCTGCTACCTGAAGATCCGCACCCCTCTCGCCATCTGGTAGGAGCTGTTTGCAGGGTCCTCACTCAATCGGCTTGTTGTGATGCGTATCCCCGTAGATGCCAGCACGAGCCGCCGCTTCACGCCGCCTTCCACCGCGCTGAGCCCGGGCAAGATGAGCGAGGCGGTGCCGCTGGGCGCCCCGGACGCCGGCGCCGCCCTGGCCGGGAAGCTGAGAAGCGGCGACCGCAGCATGGTGGAGGTGCTGGCCGACCACCCCGGCGAGCTGGTGCGCACCGACAGCCCCAACTTCCTCTGCTCTGTGCTCCCCACGCACTGGCGCTGCAACAAGACCCTGCCCATCGCTTTCAAGGTACTGGGCTGAGAGCGGGTGGGTGGTGGGAGGACCGGCAGAAGCCCGCGGATGCCCGGGGTGATTCGGGAGGACAGTGGCCGGGCTGACTGGGCTGGCGCTGCCTTCTCATCGCCCCTGGTCCGTCTCCTGTGCTTGGGATTCGTGGATGCTGCGTTGCCGTGGCGACCCTCGGGCCGGACCAGCTTCAGCCTGCATGCAGCATCCACTCGGGGCTAATCAGGATTCCCCCAAGATACCCACACAGGGCCACCCGTACCCTCTTTTGCCTTTGATACAAAGTGTCAGTACCCATCCTTACCTTTGATACAAAGTAGGCAAAGTTCTATCTAGCAGGAAAAAATCCTTCTGCTTCCCCACGGCTCTCCAGCAGTTCTGGATTAACACTTAAACCAATTTTTCTCTCTCAGATGAAGACATCAGGAAATAAAACACGGATACTTTCATACTTTCCGGTCAGTAAAAATAAATAAATAAATAAAACAACATTGGGAATTGTCAGGGATTTCCCCCCCTTTCTTAACCGCCCCGTAGAAATTAGCATGTCCAAAGTCCACCGAGGCGGACGTAGTTAAGTTTGCAAAAGTTTTCTGAGTTTTGCGAGCCTCTAGCTTGCTACTGCCAGAAGCCACAAGGAATAAACCCTGTTTCTTTTTCTGTAATCCTCCTGGACGCTATCGCTGGCTCACCTAGATTAAGCCCCGGGCAGCGAAACGTGACAAGGTGTCTTCTGAGAGCCAGGAGGTCCAAACATCCAGCTGTGCTGCTAGACGAGGGGGCTGCGTGGACCCGGCCACTTCGGCGAGCAGCCTGGGTCTGCGGTCGCTTTTCACCCCGGATCTTGCCCTAGCTTTGAGCTGACTTTAAAAACCTTGGCCTTCAAGAGGGATATATAAACAACCTCCAGCGCTTTTAAACAACCACCCCACTAGCCTGGCAACAAACAGTAGTAGGAATTTAATTTCTGCGGTGGGGATTCTGTTCTGTCTTTGGTGGGGTTTTTTTTTTCTAAGTGTAGCTTTTTAGTACAATCAGTGTGGTCATTTCCTGTTCATTTAAAAGGCTAATGAAGGTTAGGGATGTAAATTGTAAAGATAAGTTACTCTTTTAAAAAAAGTTAAATAATTGTCCCCTTTAAAGGGAAATTAATTTAATAAAGCTTTTTATAGGCCTTAGCCAGATCTTGATCTAACTACAGTGAAAAAAAGGTGCTGTCGGAGTTTTTTAAGCTTTATCACTTTCCAAACTTAAATGGTGATTTGTAAAATAACTGAAACCCAATTTGCGATTGGCCTTCTATACAAGTTCTTCCTTTTCACTCAGCTGTCTGATAGAATTTTTTTTAAGGGCGGTGGAAATGAGGGTAAAGAGCAGCCACTTGACTCTCCTTCCTCTCTTGCATTTATTTAGATCTGGGTTTGGGAGTCCTTTTGGATTTTAAATGATTCTAATCATTTATGTAAACAGACTCAGCTGGTGGATCTCCTCCCCTCTCTGTAACTGAGAGGGGACTGGGGCTGGGTCCTGGGGTCACTGTCAGATTAGAGCGTGGAGTAGACAGGCTGATAATCAACCCGAGGGCCTTTTAAGCCAGGCTGCCCTATACCCTAGTCATGCTAAGGGATTTGTGGCTTCCTTTGGGGGGAAACCAGGATCTCTTTTGAGCTCTGTCCTGCCAGGGAACCCACTCCCCAATACATCGAGACACTAAATGATTAATGAAAAGTCTTCAGGAAATGGAGCCATGCAAAATCTTGAGCTACTCTATGAAAATATTATTTTCTTCTAAAGGGTTGAAAAACTATACAGATTGCTTTTAGGAGCCACCAGGGAATTCTTTTTATCAGAAATCATAATAACCATAGAGGTTTCCTTTTAACAATGACTTTGGACAATTTACTGTAACAAAAATCTGAATTTGTTTTACTGAATGATAGCTATTAGCTATTAGATGTCAAGATGTAGATCTTTTGCAGAAAGTTCAAGTGTGTCTCTTGAGAACATTTTGGGGAAAGAAAAAGATAGCAGAGAAATCAGACCACTTGACTACTATCCCTCACCACCCCAGAGAAGAGAGGCCCCCTTTTCAAAGAGATTTGCTCACTGCATGGCTGAAAAAGTAGCCAGAATTTTTAGTGTGAGAATCAGTGTAAAGATGGGAGATGAAAGCCAACTAAACTTCAGAATCTGCCTATATCCTGGCTTCATTTACTGTGGGCCTCGGGCTGCACTCTGTCATTAACTATCCCCTAACACCACCCAAGCAGTTTCTGCAAAAATTATTTCTTTAAAATTTAGATGTTAAGCAAGACTCAGACAGTCTCCTTAGGAATTTAATCCTTAAAGAATTATATTCCTCATGATAAAGAAGAGAAAATGTGAAACAATTATAAAGTCTGATGATGTTGATGAAAAGAGCATGTAAGCAACTCTTTAGAAGTCCTCTGCAATTCTTTGTGTAAATCTTGTGCTTTATTCTTCAGAACTAAGGAGACATTCAAAATTACGAATTTTCTTTAAAATAGATTAAAACGATCATAATTGTTCATCTTGGACCCCATCCTGTTATTCATCTCCTTCCCTCTCATAGAAAGACCTTTATTTTAGCACAGGAGAGGTATATATTTTTCTACTGAGAAAAATCCTAAGCTTGCTATGTGCTACCCAGTATTTACAGAAGCAGCCTACAAAGCTGTTTGGATGACTTAGAAGGGGTTCTGTATACTATAATATTACAGTTTGTTTAGGCCCTGGTACACCAGAGTCCAAAGACATAAACATGCCTTCAGCAAAGAAGTTCAGAGACCTTGGATGCTGATTGTAATATGCTTTTCATAAAAATTAAAAAAAAAGAAATAAGTAATGTTTCTGGCGGCTAGATCATGGTCCCCAGCTATGCATTAAATGTCATCTTGGCTGAATTCTGTGTTCCACTCCACAGCCTTCTTTGAAACATTCGAAGATTAAGAGATTCAAAGTAAATGAATTGTAACTGTAATTTCAACCTAATTAGGATTGGTTGGAAATGCCTGTTTGAATTGCAAACAGGCTAGCCAAGAACAGTACCTGGAGAACTACAGAGTATAGAGGAGAGTTGATACTCTGCCCAACTTCCTGATACTTTAAAAACAGAGAAGTAAAAATATGAGATATCTTTGGCCAGCAAGTCCCTTCTTGTCTGTTTGGTCTGTGTTAAAATGTAAATGTTTGTGTTTCTTTACCTATTGTTTATAGCTTTCATTCCAGTTGCTTTTCTCTGTGTGAAGGTAGACATTTTTTCATTCTCTCCATATTGCCTATCAATGTCAAAATCCATATCAAATTGGCAGATACATCAGTTTAAAAGTTTTAATCTAGCCTAAGTATGCTTATTAATTGGATAATATATATTGTTAAAGAAATTTTCTGGGGCTTGATTTTGCTACTTTTCCCCTCCCCCCCAAAATCCTTTACAGATAAATAAAAGCCCCTGATGGCCATATTTGAACACCCAAATACCTTTGATTTCTGCTACATTTTTAAAAAGGGTGGAGTAATAGTTAAACTCCTAATTTTTTATTCTTAAATCTCAACACCAACAATTTTTTTCTTGTTTGGCCTCCATGATAATTTTATGCTTTATTTGTTTCTGTTTGGCAAAAGTCTGAAGGGTTTGCCAGATTGCTAAGGAGAACAATATTAGACTCAAAGGTAGAGCACTAGGAGAAACAGCAGTTGGAGCACAGTGATTCAGAGGGCATTGGGTGGTTATAAAACAAGATTTATTTATTTTAACCTCTTTCCAGATTCAGCCCCAACGATGAGTTATTCAGTTTGAAAGCCATGTGGTTGATCCAGCACCCTGTACACTTACTGAATATTGAATTAAAATAGAAAAGCCAGGGCCACCACAGGGAGATGAAGATGAGGAAGTAAAAATATGTGTTCAAGGAAGACATTTCAACACTGTGAGCTAATTTCACAGAGGGAAGTGAAAACTCTGAAAAAAAAATGGAAAAAAATTTAAGAGACTAAAAAAAGCAGGATAAAGCAAACACATTTTGTAAGAATAGAAGGAAAAGGTAATAATCAAGTGATCAAGGAGATTTATTTCAATATTGTCTTTCAAAACAGAAGAGAATTGTTATATCATTGCTCTTAATTAAATGGCAACAAACACACTTATAATGGAAGATAAATACCTAATTAGAGATTAATTTTAGAGAATAAATAGCAGTGTTTTAAAGTCTCCTTTTTCGAAAACATGTCCAAAAATTGAAACAAAAAGAGTAAAAACAGAGATACACGGCCCTGACCTTGCTCCTCAGTGCAAGTTGGATGAAATAGATGAGTAAAATCTTACTAGGACCATGAGCGCAGATTATGCCGGTGAGGTCTTAGGGTCCACAGCGACTGGGTTCATTTTCTGTTGTGTTCCTTCGAACCAAGGCGCTAAAGCAGCCACAGTGAATAAAAACAGTACAGAGTCATCTGAAGGACACGGGGAAGGCAGGGGTCATGACTAAGCACACAGTGAAGATGGGAATGTTGAGCAACATGACTTTGATATCAGGTAAGCGAATCTGTGGCAGCCTTATTAACATACAGAAAAAAAGGACTGAAAATAGTCCCAACAAAAATTGATGTAGCCATTACGTACTAGTAAATATTGGGAGGCAGAAAACGGGAAGGAATAATAACAGATTAAGGAATGCTTTACTATTACCAATTCAAAAGCAGCCATCAAAAAATGATTGTACAATGGGTATGAATAATACAAATTTCTCTATTGACCATGAAAGTACCATACGGAGTATCAGAAATGATAAGAACAAATACAATTCGGGGCATTTTGATCTGAAAATTTACAACCACTATGAAAATCTCAAACAAAGAAAATAGTAGCCAATAATAAATGCCTAGACCAAGGAAACATTTTCTGGAAGGGTCAGATGGAATGGCCAAGAAATAGATACTGTTGCACGAAGCATCTTCAGGCTGTGCTCTTCAGAACATTTTAGCTTGAAATTACTACTTTTTTATTCCCTGAGTATCAAAAATAGTTATCGGCTGGTTTTCTTCAATAGCCTCGACGGTAAGCCATACCTTTTCAATTATATTAAAGGAATTCCTCATCAAGATTAGCTGGGTTTGGAGAACACCTCAGTCATCTATCAGGATATAAATAACACATCTTTAGAAATATAAAAATGTACCTCCCTTGATTTGAGGAGGGTGATTAAAGTGAGAGTCCCTTCTCTCTGAGGTCTGTCACTTTTGTAATTAGCAGCGACCAATGGGTACATTTCTGATTTTACCTTCTTGCATGCCAGAATTCACTGCTAAGGACACTCAGTATAATAATAGAAACACATAGGAATACCAGAAATGAACTGACAAGCAACAGTTTACGTCATTTGAGAATCATACCAAAGATTGAATTTAATCTTAAGTTTAAATACTTAAAACTGAATCTAGGTTCCATTAGGCCTGCCAGTGGCAGTTTGAGGAAATGAAAGATGGGTCAGGTTATAAAGTTAAAAACAGATGACATTCTGTTTCTCAAATAAGAGGAATTAAGAGACAATTGTATTCGTGAGACGCCATAGCTTCTCCAAGTCCTTGTTCTTGTTAGTCTGGGTTCAAACTGTGTTGTATGACTCTGTGTGGCTTTATTAGGTAAATTTAGTGTTTCCTTATTTGAAAATTTATATTAAGTTATGCATAATGGAATTTTCAAAAAAATGTTTTCAGTAACAAACTTTTATGTTATGTGACAAGGTTACAGTTGCTATTCCTCTGCAAACTGAGAGAGTATCATTTAATATGCATTTAATTTTAGAACACTGGCTACACAAATGACATAAAAGTGTATGGATAACGCTCCTGATGTCTGCATTTGTCCCTGACTCCTGTGTAGGTGGTGGCTCTGGGGGAAGTTCCAGATGGTACTCTGGTCACGGTGATGGCTGGCAACGATGAAAACTACTCAGCTGAGCTCAGAAATGCTACTGCAGCTATGAAGAACCAAGTTGCAAGATTCAATGACCTCAGGTTTGTCGGTCGGAGTGGGAGAGGTATGTATCTGTGAAAACTGAATTTAAAACATAAAGTATTTATGGCCACAAACCCAGATTTCAAAACTTCTAGCGTTTTCTGTGATGGTCTTTCTTACTGTTTTTGCTATGTCAAGCTATTAAAAAATATTTATTTAAAATTTAATATTGTTAACAGAATCTAACTTTACAGTATTGGTTTCAATTACTGAATGGTTTAAGACTGATTTAGAACATGTAAAACACGAATGGTGAATTTCAACAAAATGCCTCATACTTTTACTAAAATGTGAAAATATGAAATTTACCTATCATGAACACTAAGATTATAGAGTGGGGAAACTATTTCATAACAGAAAATCTATTTAATAAAAGCTTTTAACTTGTGATTCATGTACTATCTGTTACAAGTATCAGGGTTCCAAATGATTACTTCAAATAATTTTTAAGAGACCCTTAGTGTCTGATGTGGAAACAAAGTTTCGTGCAAGTGGACCTTTCTGGGTCAAATAAGAAGGGAATATGACTTTTCTGTTAGATTTCTTTTGAGTGCCTTATTATGCTTTGGGGGAAAGATTGGGCCCTTAACATTTTAGGTACCAATAATGTGGAAGACCAGATTTTCCAAAGAAATTATTGCATTAGTTCAGTTTAATTTTCATCTTTAACCCATTATCAAGGTATTTGAGCTGAAAGAGAAATCTTGGCTCGTTATAATCTTCTCTAGTTTCTGATTATTTTCAAGCATTGTATTTTCTCTGTATTGTAAGAACCTATGTCGTATTTTATCAACAGCAAAAAGTACTGGAAGTTTAATTGAGAAAGGTAGGATATTTTGCTCTGGAAATCTCATTTTTGTAATATAAAATAAGTATAGGAATAAAAGTTATTTCCAGTTAAATAAAAAAGACATGATAAGTAACTAAATAATAGTAATATCTCAGTCTGTTAGACAATGTGGAAATACCAGCCAAAGCACAATTAAAAATAGAAGGAATCATTACTCTTTATTAGAAAATCGGTGTTCTTTTGAGAATTTCATCAGTGTAAGAGAGAAAGGAGTAAATGTGTGCTGATTATTTGGGCTGTTGTCTTTTGCTATCCTTGCTGTCTGGAGCATTTTCATAATAGGATTCTAGCTGGAGAAAGTGAGCAAAACTTATAAAATGATTGAAAATATATGTTCATAGTATTATCTTAATCATAGGGTAATGTGAAGAAAATTATATCCACTTATTAAAAGTATGAGGGATGCCATAAGATATAAAAGCATAAGTCATTAAATGGGTTCACTTGTTATATTAAAAGTCCCTGCCTTTCAGTAAATGGAATTTGCATTATGATTCAGAGATATGTGTTTAGAAAACATTTTGAAGGCTTCTGATGAGTAGCTGGCAAAGCAGATGAGAAGCCAGTAAAAAATAAAGGAACCACAGCCAGGGCCATGCCCACCTGCCTAGCTAGCGATCATAACTCAGTTCTTAGATTTCTACTTTTGCAACTGATAGCTAGGTGTCATGTGGGTGCTAGTCCAGAGAGAATACGATTTTCATAATGCGCATCTATGCAGCTCTATGTGTCAGGTTTTGGTTATAAAAGTTTTGAAAGTTATATAGTGGCCCATCCAGCGACATTTTCCCATTAGAAGCTCAGTAGCTGCTTTTTGGCAATGCTCAGTAAGTCAAGGATAATAAAGCAAGAGATTTTGAAAGCAGCGTGCTTATTTTTCTGGTGGGGAGGGCCGCTCTCTCATCCGTCATTGGCCATCTCTGTTTTGAGTGTGTGACTAATAGGTGCTTGTGTTTACTTGGGTAAAAGTGAACTGTTTCCCCAAGGTGTGGATTGTTTGCATTTGGCTTCCTGATTTGTGCCAGTGTGCCCTTGAGTTTCCATAAGCCCCAAAAGTAAAATAGCTGCAACCGAGGCTGGGTTGTCTTCTCATACTTTGGAATGAAAAAATTAATTAAATGCCATAAATGGACAGTATTTGTTTTGAAAGGGCTCTCCTTCCTGTGAGTGATAATAAGTAATCAAAAATACAGGAACCCTAATTGAATATTTGACCCAATTATGATTACCGTGTGTAATATCGGTCTTGAGGTGCTTTGTTTTTTTCTGTCAGTGCTGCAAGGCAGAAATGAGTTGTCAGAGGCTCAACTTCATTGTCTCATGATTTCACTCCATAGTTGCAAAGTAGTTTGATTTTTCTCTTTCAAGTATAAGTGTCAACATCAAAGCCTGCCGGACTTTTTCTTTCTTCGTCTTTTTTGTTTTTTTAATCTACAATTTGCTTCCCATTGAGAAGAGAGCAGATGATTCTCACTAATTTTGAAAATTAGTCTCATGCTTGCTTCAGCAGCACATGTACTGAAATCAGGACAACTGGTCTTAATTTTCTTCACAGAATCTTATTCTTCCAAAGTTTCATTATTAAACGATCGTAATGCTACCTGCTATTTCAGTTTCTGTGTTTGAAAATACACCTTTAGCACTGATTGACCTACCATGCAGTGGTCTGGCCTTTGGCTCAGCCACACATTTCAATGCCACTTTTGAATTCTCTCAAAAGCGGTCATTGGACTGGTCTAATGCACTCTCAAAGGGGCCAGTGCTTAGGAGAGAATAAAAAGTAGGCATTTCCCCCTTTCCTTTTTTCTCTTCACCAGGTGCCACACTGTGGGGATCATAAACCTTGTAGAAAGTGCCAGAGTTTGCCCATGGAAGGGTTTTTCTCTGTTCTACAAAACTGATCTGTCTGCTTGCTGGCTGATGTCCAGGATCTCAGCTCCTAACCTAGGTTAAGCCGGAAACTGGGAAAACCTGCCTGTCTGGCTTTTAGGGCTCTCCTGACTACCTGGCCCCTAAAGATGTTGGTGAAGGCCTCAGTGGCATGCACCTTCCTCCCTTCCATCCCCTCCTTTTCCTCCCTGGCAGTTTAAATCTCCTGCCGGGTGTATCTCACCCTTGGAATGTTTCTTCCTTTGATTCAGTATCTCCATGTAAACTGACTTTGCCTTTACAAAGGAGGAAGAGATAGTGGCTCCCAGCTCCCAGGAGAGGAGAGTAGGGGCTCTGGGAAGCCCTCCCAACCTCGGAGATCAGAGAGCAGCCAGTTGTGGCCATTCCCAGCAATGCACATTTTATCCCCACGGCCTGGGACTATCGAGTCACTTCCAGGAAATCCAAGTGCAGGGTCAAAAGGAAGTCTCTCCAGTGAGAGTAATCACCTCAGCAGTGTACATCACTTTACACTTACAATTAATGCAGGTACCACTGATGTTTAAAATTATAAGAAAATGGATCACTGGGCCAGGAATTTAGCTCAGTGTTGCCATGTTTGCCCCAAAAGCACAGGGTCCTGAGTTCGATGCCCAGTACTGGAAAAAAAATGGATCATGGCTTCAGATGAGAGACATTAAAGAAATTGTAGCAGTGACGTCTGAAAGTGCCCCATCCCTGTTGTAGCATTTAATTAGCCAAAAGGAAGCAGTCCATCAGTGAATACAGCTTTAGTTATTTTATTTTAGAACCCAAGAAGAAATCTACCAAACATACCATCAACCACATTGCGAATGGGAGAAGGGAATCCATTGCAGATTTCTGGAACACTTTTCCCAAGGGGGGAAAATGCACATGTACACAGTGTATCATGTACAATTTAAGTTTCCAGAGCCTATGGGGTTTGTTTCTAGACCTCCCAGGGGTCCACGGAGGCTGCACCTGTGAGTTTGGAACTTTGCATTGCTGGTGGAGGGTCAGCCTAGCACTATGCTTCACATACTAGTTACCCGGAAAGTGACTAAATCATTTTCTTGCTCCCTATGCTGTTTTTATAACATCTGGTTTTGCGATAGCCAGGCCCTGGCTAATTAGGGAAATAGAGGCCATTCAAAATACCTGTCTGGACTTTAGCATGGCCACAAGGTTGGCCAAGGAGAAGGCACATCCTGCCATTGACAGGCAGCTTCTGCTAGAGCGGGCATCAGCCCTGGCTGAACAATTCAAATTCTTATCAATTCCTATGAACTCTGAGGCCAAGTATTCTATGGACCGTTGGGACAAGGATTCATTTCTTAGTGGATTTTTTGTTATTTGTGTTGATCTCCCTGGCCACTTGAACACTACCCGTTTTCAAAATTGGACCCCTTTCCCAGCACTTTTATAAAATGAAGTCCCTTCCTTATACACTTGCTATAAATGTCTTTCTAGACATAATATTTATTCTGCCACCATCTGGGTGATTTCATATTTGTATAATGTTGGTCACCTAAAGCATTTTCGTTCTTAAATTATTTTACATTATTCGGGACACAGTATGGGGATGTTGTCTTTCAGATGAGTGGAAAACTGGTGGAGACAAAGGCTCATTTGGGAAAAGATAAACTGTTCAATCATAACAAAGAGACATGTCTTTGTGCAGTCGGTTTTACTGAGTGGTGGTCTGAATAAGCCACAGTATTATCATAGGATTCAAGTCATCCCCTACGTGATCATTGATTCACATAATGGGGTGAGGAAAAATTCATCTGCCAGCTCCAGATTGGAGATTCCAGTTGGCAGACTGGAAAGGGAAAAAGGAAAAGGAAAAGACATGAGTTATAGTAAAATCAAATATCCCATATTTTCCTCTTCTTCTTTTTTTGGCTTGTTATTGATCTATACTTTAAAATACGTATAGACTGAAATTTGTTTTCTCCAGATATATAAGAAAATGAGGATTTAAGAAAAAACAGCTGCTGCTACTGAAAGCCTCAGCCAGCCCTAGCAAATACTTCCTTCCGATGGCAGGTTGCAAGCTTTCACCCATGAGCCTATGTAGAATTCATCTCTAGAGATCAAGTTTCTCATCGTCTTTTACATTTCCCAATAAAAGAGTAGCAATGTTTTTTTCAAGCAAGTTTTTTTCCTCTCTCACTTAGAACCTGGCCGTGGCAAGGACCAGAGAAAAGCTTGCCTGAAAACAGCTTGTCCCTGGAACAAGCAGTTTCACAATTGATCCCTTCCTGGTTTTCTTGCTGATT